CTTTACTGCATCAGAAGACATATTGATATATATTATTTGCACATTTATCTATTTATTGCTTGCTGGACATCAATCATATTTATATTTGCATTAAATTTTACTGAGCAAACATGTTGGCACGGCAAACAAATTTTAAACAGACGTTTTTAACACATAGTGAATTATACATGTTATTTTGCCTTGTATTTATACTTTACGTTGTAATAAACGTGAGCAACTTCACATATTTTGGTTCGATCCAGCACATTGTATACGGAAATCCTGATTGATTTGACCTGTAATAATTAATTATAATTGTCTAATCATTAATTCCACTAATCATAATATGGAACCCATTTGCATGGTATTATTAAATACACGCAGGAGATAGCGGCATTTTACAATTGTAAGCATTGAGTGCAAAATTTGCAATAGTCAAAAAACAAGAAAAGCGTAGATGGCAAGATAAACTCAATCTAGTATATACATTTATGGAAAAGAAAAAATTTACAAATCCTGCTTAACATTATAACACAAACTCTATTCTATGAAATTCTAGTTTACATAAACGATTGAATTGGTTCTATTTGTAAGGGAAAGTGGCTCTTATTATTCCCAAATATTATCGCATGTAACTACGTCACACTTTTTTGTACCCTGATCAATACGGTGTAGGAGTACCTAGGGTACTAAAATCAATTAGGGAAATATAAATACCCCGGGTACATATGTTGGAGTCTTACGGTACTTTAAATGAATACATAATACCCATGTTTGTGTTTGGGGGGAGATAATATAAAGTTATATTACTGAAGGAAGCGCTTTCTTCGTGCGGTGTTGCGTTATCCATTAACAACAAGATTTTTCGTTGAGCTTTTTGCATATCAGCATTTAGTTTTTGTAGCCAATGTGAGAATATACCCATGCACTACTACAATAATAGTAAACCGGTAAGTTACACTAACCTACCAAAAGTATACAACAATCGATAAAAGTAAGATTAAATTTAAATTACTCAACAAGTAATGGTGTAAATATTCTGAAATTTAGATCAAATAAACTACTATTAATTTTAATTAAGCCATTAAGTTTTTGTCTTACATTTATGTGAAGATAAAATTTGTCACTAAGGCACATATTTTGGGTAATAAATTGACAAATTTATGCTCTACGGAAACTTTTTTGTTAAATTATTGGACATAATAAATAACGTTTTCTTTTATTCACCTTAAAGCATTACCGTTGGTACGTTTTTTTAAAAAGTCTGCTAGAATATCTTGGATATATGTAGAGATATAAATTTTTAAAAAATAAACTACTTTATTTGAAGTAATTGCAGTAAAACAAAAAATTCAACTTGAATTGCTCAACAATAATGGCTTAAACAATTGTAAATTTAGATTCAAAAAAAAATTGCTGCTAAAATTGGTTTATTATAGTTTTTAAAAATACATATACATAGTAAACCAATTTTTTTTACTTGAGATTGCTTTTTAGGTATAATTATACATTAAAATTTTTACTTCTATTACTATTACCGAAAATAACAAAGTACAGTTTTTTTGTTTGTTTTAAACCATAGGCCCGAGGTAAAATTGTATTTAAAAATTAGTTAAATTATCTTAAGTATTTGTAGAGATACATATTTTTCTATAAAACCCTTATAAAATAGCATATTTCTACAACTACCGCTGAGACATACTGAAAATTCCTTAAAAATTTTGTTGGCAAGCCATTTATTAAATTTGCAAGGATTAGGTATGATTAATATGGGGTTACATTGCCGTTTGCTGCGATAACAGCTTCTATTCTATTGTTCATACTCTTTATTAAATTTCTATAATACTCCTGTGGAATAAGATTCCACTCAGTTTGGAGAAAATTCATTAACTCCTGTTCATTCTTTGGTGGAGGCATTCTCATATGAACACGTCTTCCCAATTCATCCCATAAATGTTCGATAGGATTGAGGTCTGGACTTTGACCCGGCCAATGACTCTTATCTCTGATTGTTCGAGAAACTGCCGAGTCATGTGACTTGTATGGGCGTTATCATGTTGGAAGATATAAACAGCTTTTTTCGGCCGTAAACTTTTTAGTTGCATTTTACAACACTTCTTCAACATATCTTTGACTATTAATCTTACCCTCTAGTCTTATAAGAGGCCCCAGTTCATTCCAAGTAAAACATGCCCAGACCATAACACCGCCTCCACCATGTTTGACTGTAGGAACAACGCAGTCAACCTTATATCTCTCATTCGGTAATCTCCAAACTCGTATTTCGCCATCATTTAACAACTGTTCCACCTGATTCAGCCAAATTTTCACGAATTACACTAAGTGGTTGCTTGCAATCACTTTTTACGATCCGTTTTAACTGCCTCTCATCTCTCTCCGTTAATATGCAAGGCCTGCCACTACGTTTTGCAACTGTAGTTGCCCTATTTTCTTTATATTTGGCAATAACAGTGTGCACAGTGTTTCTGGAACGACCTAATTTCTCACCAACCTCCTCTTTTGTAACGCCAAAACTGCTAGCACTAATGATAAAACCACGCTCAAAGTCAGTTAATTCAGTTCCTTTGGTCATTATGTATAAAGATGTAAACAAAAGATGTAAAATCTTGATTATCTTTATCTATGAATAGATATTTATGGTAATAAGGTTTGTTAATAATATGGGGGGTTAGACATAGGGGAAGTCTATATGAAAATCCATAAACGAAGTTTTTTTTCTGCCGATCATTTGCTGATCATTTACCGATCACTTTCAATAGTAAAAAAGCGCAAACTTCAAATCCCTAAGGCTTTTGAAGGAAGCAAGCTACGCTCATAAAGACTATGCTAATGCTTACTTTAACAACTGTAATATAAGAAAATACCCCTAGTTTTTTTAATTTTCTATAAAAAAGTGGAGAAATATCAATTAAAAGAACCTTTACATAGGGGGGTGCTTATTCACGAGAATACGCAAATCGCTCCTTTTAGAAACAAAACAACAATGGAAAGGTCACTATCCAAAATTTTGGCCAGAATTATTGCGGTTTTCAAAATGCTTAAACACCCTAAAATTTCAGTGGGATTATTGTTATCAGTCATTTTCGAATGATTTTCGAAGTAAATTTTCCAGCATACATAAGCAAATACTTCTTGCATATAAGATCTGAATGAAGATGAAATATGTATTGCTGAAGCAATAATTGAGTTACGGAAAAATATCACTGAACAACCTTGGCTTATTCAAAGTCACAACCATCTCCCTCACATCACAAATTTTGGGCTCACGACATTGGTTGATTGCTGAGACTTTTTATTCTGTGATAGACCTAACATGTCCTGCTTTGCCTTTTTAGTTACATGGAGGATCAATCGAGCTCTTGTATTCACATATGAATATCCGTATCTGCGTGAACGAGTACATTCATCCCTGGCGCTTTCATCAATGAAAATGAATTGTTCGGGCATGTAACCAGTGCCGATTTCAACAATAAATGCGCTGCGTAACAACTCATTTTTTTCCCGCAGCTTTAGTTATCTGTATGATAAAATATAATAAAAAAAAAAGACTTCGACACCTATGATCAAAATTGTTAATACTTTTAACGAACGCCAAATGGATATTCTTTTGCCTGTTCTCGTCTCCATTTCTGCAACCAAAAACCAACCTACCCTCTCGTTAACCAGTTTTGTCAGAATCTGTATAGAGTATGTGTGTAAGATCTCTACACAAAGAATTCCGACAGCAAAAACACCAACCCAGACCTTCATATCAGTACTTCTGAACAGTTTCTTACGACCGGAAACGCCTCTAAATGGGTTGTCCACACAGTTCTATTTCCTAAAGTTCCTTAATACTCTGCGTACGTATAATATGTCGTTTGTTATAACCATCCAGATGCAAGTAGACCATTCTCCATTTCAAATCTTCACTAAATGGACGACGCATACCTATATGACAGCATTTATACTTGTAATCATTGTAATCGCCTATAATCGTCTGTAATCGCCTATAATCGTCTGTAATCGTCTGTAATCGTTCTGTAATCGCCATGTAATCTCGTACTTTCCCTTTACGTAGGAAGCTGTAACTTGACAGTCAGGTTTCCGTACGGTTGTGCTTTCTTAGCTAGAAGAGTTGAGTTTGACTGTACCTGTAATCACGAATAATCTTCTAAAACATAGTATTAGTATGAATCCGTTTTTTTTAGTCCCATAGACAGGTGTCACAGCATTTTGAAAACCGCAACAATGAATATGGTATATTTATTATCACATGATGAAGCTCGTGTCTGTGACCCTTGTGTTCTATTGATCTAAGTAGAACGACATTAATATTAATTAATATTGCGCCCCGGCTTATATAAGCACGTGATTTAATGTACCAAGAAATTTTGGATGTAAAGAGCTATTTAACTAATCAAAACTTGCAGTGTAATACGTTATGTGTCTCCCGATTTCAAATACCAAACACTACACTTATTATAGTAAGAGATATATACTGTACCTAAGGTTTGAATGCTGACGATGTTTATGGTTGGATAAAATTAAAAGTGTCATAATTATGGTGACACTTGCCTTATCTGATCAATCGATTGTGTGTCCGTTATATATACATCAAAAACAGGTTATTCAAAACAAAAAACGATAAAATTTTATTATTACCTGATAATAAAGCTGATTGCTAGCGACGGTACAATAAGACTTCAACTATAATAGTGAGGTTCGTCAATATAAGTTATAATAGGGAGAATTTTGTCACATCGAAAATTAGAAATGCTGTCATCCTTGTGTTAATTGTCTTGCTAGTCGTTATTGTCTCTATCTTTTGATCAGCTAATATTATTAATTTTCAATATCGTAAGCGATCATCTGACGTATACAATTTGAAC